TAGTTCTCGCGATGACCCGCGTTCAGGGATCCGTGCACGTTGCTGATAACCACCCACTTCTACGATTAGTTTGCTGAAGGTTTCTTGTGCGATGAGCCTAGTGAGACCCTGAGGTGCTCCAAACTGTGCCAGTTGGTCTGCGCTATAAACTTGTCTCAGTTCTAAAGTCAGAGGGAGGGTCGCCCACCTCTATTTATGTGAGCGTCTCTACAGTACCTGCGTATCCCTAGCAATCATATGATATAAAGTTCATTTCAGTCACAAATCATTAGTTAGGAAAACTGATTTTCAGATAAGCGCTCTTCTTGCCCTTCTTCCTTATTCATTGCTGACTCTAAGATAGCGGTTACAGTACGCGTTCTATTAGGTTTACAGTCACCTTGCCACCAGGAAGACTCGCCACCAGCTTTGATTTCTTCTGCCATCTTCAGATTCACCTCTCTCTCAACTTTACGTGTCCGATTTTTATGACGAGGATACTGGCATGAATCTCATACCAAGTTGTGCACGATATTTGAGGAATATCGTGAAATCGCGGCTTTCGTAATCTCCAAATAAGCCAATACGCGCTAGAATAAGCTTCTTCTCGGACGAAACGCATGTTTGGGATACATTGACGTCTCTCAAATGTTTTTATTTTTTATTTTTTTATGCTGTACACCCACGAGTTTAGAGTTGTGAGCTGTTGCCGTCCCTGGCCAGCGCGAGAATTGAGAGCTTTTTAGACACTCGATTTCTTATACGGCATCACTATGAAGACGTAATACAACTGATACACCTACACTACAAAGGATTGACAATGTCTGTCGCGCTGTTGCGAGAAGGAGGAAAATATTACCGGCAGCGTAAATTCTTTAAGAGTTTCAGAGACTTTTCAGAGATGTCTATCTTTGGCTGCCACAAAAAATTGACCCTCTCTTAAATTTACTGGAAAAAATGAAATATTATAAAACAGGTCATAAATTGACCAGTGAATAAAATATTTTGAAATATCGTTCGGAATTTGCCTTTTATGGCGTGCAAATCAAGGGTAGACAAAGTTTATAAAACATTTGACAAGAATTTCATGGGGTTCACCTCGATAATTTTCGTCGGCCAGAGTCAAGACACACCAAGCTAAGTGACATCGCCCTCCAGTAAAATAATTTTCCAAAGAATAAATGTGGCAAGCGTGGGGAAACGCACATTTTTTTTCATTATTGTGATCAAAGCCCAATGATGTACCTAAATTGGTACTTATGGTATCAAATCATTGATTATGACAGGGTGAGCTTAATTTTTCTGTTGAACTCACTGCACGAACTGAGAAAGTAAAAACTTGTATTTATCTCCCACGCATTTCGTCTGACAATAGTGGACTTCATTAAGGAGTTTTACAAGGAGGGTATATAAGCTTGCTCAAATACAAATAGTAAATAAGTTGTCTCTTTACTATTGAAGCCAGTGGATATAATTCGCCAGGTGCGCCTACGGTGTTATACATGCGTGACATTTTTCGTAATCTGTTTGAGGGTCACATATTTAGTGTAAATATTTGACCCCTCGACGTCACGTAATGTCTCTAGTTTACAGAGGTCTTAGAAAGCTTCATTACTTGGATTTGCCTTCTGCGCGTAGAAGGCTACAGGCGAATTTCTCGGGTGTAATTGCTTTTGATTTCTCAACTGATGTTGTCGCAAACAGCTTTTGGGAGTCACGAAACAAAAAAACTTATCGGGACCTAGTTTCATGTACTAATGGAAGTAAATGGCAAATAAAAACATATTCTCTTGAGAAATAAAGTTATAAATAACAGGGGTTCTTTGAAACAAATAGTGATAGAAAAGGTTTCAGTTCTGGTCAATATTGACTTTTCATAGCCTACCTCCAAATCTGAAGGAACTCGCCGAGGGAATAACATACATGTGTGATAATGCAAGGAGGAGAATAAAAATACAAATAAAGAAAAAGGAGAAAACATAGAAACCAGTGTTGCAGCGCGCAGATATCTTTTGAGCCAGACCTACACACTTATGCCGGACACCACGCAAAGAAACTCGAAAGAGTGCTGTACATGAACTTGCTCACACGTGCACGCAGGACAATCAGCGAAAATAATGGCAAATGCAGATGATATTTGCAGTCAAAAAACAGGCAAATAAGATGACAGAAGGATAAAGAACTTTCTGGAGGTGTCTTCTTAAAAAAAAGAAAAACAATTTTTACTTCTCATGAAGGGTCACGCAGTCACGCTACAAATACTATTTCTACGTGGAATTTCTTGATGGCGGAAAGTGGAAAAACCATTTTCCAGTCTTATTTTCTGGAAACATGGCGCAGTTGATGAATTTTATGGGGTTATTGATATTTCCTATCATATAAGAGAAGCAGAGTTTCCCGAAAAGCCGAAATTGTTACACTTGGGAACTTGTACGTCAACAAGCACGCGGCATCTGAATTTAAAATCTCCTCTCCTGTTACAGTTTCCTTATTGTGAACTGTGCGATAATGATAATAAACAATCCAATTGTAGACTAATGAATGTTTTGGTTTTGTACAAGTGCCCTATTTCCTGATTTTAGCAAATCTTTAAAATAATAAAAGACAGGAGAAAGAAACGCTACGATTTTCCCATCGATTTTTCAGCTAAAAACACGTCGAGAGAGCTGGTATCTTTGTAAACAGCGATTTGTTTATTTAGCACTCGAGAAAAGTCAACTCAAAAACTTTACCTAAAACGGTGGTTTGTTCACTTAACAATAAAGGAAGGTTAATTTTTAAGTTAAAATCGATATATTTAAATGAATCAAAACTGAAGTAGAGACCAAACACGTCGAGTTTTGTCCCAATAGCGTGCGATTCGCAGTAGGAGTACAGCAAGGAAAATGGCCTAACTCCGTGAAACTGCACGCTATATATTTTGGTCTGGCGCGCTCGCTTTTCACGGGCCAAAAACAATATTTTTACATGATAAACATGAAGAATTTTTCGTTGAAAAGAGCTCTTTTATTTTATGTAAATTTGTATACCCCCGATGTTATGGTCGTCTGAAATATAGCAAAATTCAGCGTACAAACGGAATAGAAAATATAGTGTACTTTACGCTGGTGGTTACAAACGAAAGAAAGTTCAGTTAGAGATGAAATATAGTTGCAAAGCTACTCCGAGGGATGAAAAACAACTTATGAAAAAATGAATCCAAGATAATTTTTCGCTGTCTTGTACGAGCGTTGTGAAAATGCACTAAAAGCCCAATAGAAATTATGCAAATTAGGTACGTTTTGGCCGATTTCGAACTTTCATATTTTTTTCCAAAATAAAAACTCGCTCGAACTTTTGAATATTATTTTTGAAAAAGATTCACCAAAAGGGTCTTTTTGAGAAAATAAAAACAAAGTTGAATTTTTGCTTCTGTCGCCGGATTCTCGAAAATTACTGACAACCTCTCTTAAATATTCGGCGAGTTCAACTGCAAACTGATTGATATGACTGTTCCATCTGATAGAAACATCGTTCAGAAGGAAATGGAAAAGAACAGCAAGTACAAAGACCTAGAACTAGAAATACAGAACATGTGTCGTATGAAAACCATAGTGCTCCTTCTGGTTGTTGGTGCGCTTGGTACAGTAAAGAAGTGTATGGTGGAAAACATAACGAAAGTATCAGAAGAAGCTAATGTGACACAGATTCAAAAGATCTGCATTCTGGGATCTATGCAAATCCTCAGAAAGGTGCTTAGCGTATGAACAGAATGACTGACTTGAATGACTGATGCCCTAGGTGCATGGTTTGCGCCCAGCGGATGCACAAAAAGAACACCAGCAAAGACTGTGATGGAAGAGATAATAATACCGATGATAATAAAAATAATAATGACAATAATAATAATAATAATAATAATAATAAAAGAAAGATATTGATGAATCAATTGATTTTCATTAGTCTCTTATGCCCGAAACGAATTTTTAACATGGAGAAAATGGGGCAAAACACAAGGAAGCTGAAATCAATTGACTCATTCGGAGGCCCCGCTTGTAAAATTGTGTAAACAGGGGAAGAGGCGAACTTAAACAAGTTACTTGATGAAAGTTTTACATCTCGAAACGACAGTGCTGGGTACGAAACGACTTAATTGTTTGGGTACGAGTTGACTCAACTGTTTGGGTACGAAACTTTTTAGCTGGGTACGAAACGACCGAAGGTACGAAACGACTGGTAACCTTACAATCAATCTCATGTATCAAAAACTGATCCTGTCATACAACTGTAATTTTTTCTTAACAGCGGTCACTATCATTGGTTACTTTGGGGTAACATTACATCCAACAATAAAACTGTTGTCTGTGTAAAGTTTCTGATCTGAGTGGACAACATTACAAAATCTTTGACATCAGTAGGTAGCAATGGAACGTTTCCCGCTCGTGTTTATGAACGACCACTATTACACGTGAACATGGCTTGACTGAGAGTAACGTTAAACCGGCATGATATTATGGTTTTGTGATATTTTGCTCTATTACACACTTTAAAGGAGGTCATCAAAATGTTCGATTTGTTTCTGCATCACCTCCTCTAATTTATTCATTTTGCTATACAATAACTTACTAGACGACTGTGCCTACTGTGAAGCGTTCTTTTTGTTTTACTCGGGACCAGTTCTGAAGAGTTTACTATTTAAAAGACTTTCTATAATAGGATACTTAATAGATGGAAATCATTGGACAGTTCCCTTCAAATTTTTAACTTTATAATGGTTTTTGACCTCACTCTTGCAAGTTAAATTTTAAAAAGTGTCAACAAATCTCAGAATTTTAAGCTTAAGCGTGTTGAATATTATAATCCTAGACGGTGCCATTTTTAATACGTAGCCAGAGGAAGAGGATTCTTATCATCTCCCTTGTTGAAAAAGGAACAAGGGATTTAAATTTATATAAAACTTCTGCAATTACCACCACAACTACTAATAATACAGAAATCCATTTTGAAAAAATTACTGTAAAACTCAAAAAAATGTTTTGGAATTAGCGGAACAATTCCATAATTTGCACAAGGCCATCATCATTCGCATTCCCACCAGCCAAACCGGAACAATCTTCGCCATTACAGTACGAGCCTCCTCCACCTCCGGCTTGTTGCCAACGGGTACCACTACCTCCCCCAGAGTAGCCACCACCTCCACCTGATGCACCATTATCCTCTGCTCCACCTCCCCCACCACCAAACCCACCAACTGCTCCTGGTGCAGGGCCCCCGTTATTACCGCTATTCATATCTCCGGCTTGACCTCCGATCCACGCTTGCGCACGTGATCCACCTCTTTCCCCATGGGAGGAGCCTAGCCGGGTACAACCTTGACCAAACCAACCCGCTCCCACTCCTCCATGGTGGTAACCGCCCTCACTGTTGCATTCACCTGGCTGCCCACCTATGCCTCCATTTCGAACTTGTGACGAAACCTGCCCTACACTACTGGTGCCATTTGATTCCGCCTGACCATCCACACCATTATATCCACCAGACGCACCCCCTCCTCCTCCGGCAGCCAGCAACAGAACATCAGCTGTAGTATAAACAAAACTTCCTCCCCCTCCTCCAGTGCCAGCATTGTCTTCCACGGACACTCCTAGTTGAGCTGCTGTTTTGTTAGTGCTTTGTCCGCCTTTAACCTCCACTGAATCTCCTCCTCTTTGTCCCACCACAATATTTAACACTGTTCCTTTATTCAGTCTGAACTTCCCTTCTTTAAACGCTCCCTTTCCACCATAATATGTTCCTGGATAGTCTCCATAATCGTATGAATGTGTTCCTCCCCGAGCTCCCCAGGCTTTGATGAGATAGCGGGTGGTCCGTGGAACAGTGAACGTCTGTACAGTGCCAAAGCGTCCTTTTCTCCCACCACCGGCTCCAAAAATATGGTTAAAAGAATTAGCAATATCTGTCAATATAAGCAAATATACCATCATGAAATAAAAAGAAAACTAGATCGTCTACTATAAATGACAAAAAAAAAACAATGAAAAATAAAATTGACATCAAAATGTTAAAAAGTAATAAGTTTTTAACAGTTGAAAAATTTATTGACAATGTCAGTCAGGTGACCATATGTAAACAACTTGAACACCCTCCCCCGAGCGCAAGTTAAAAAATATGTTTCAAGTTACAACTGAAAGATCTTGTTGAACTCTGCTTATGGGCAATTTCAAGTCTCACACGGCTCGAGCAGCCGCGGTAAAACTTTTCGATCGAGTGCGATCAGCCAAAATTCCTCAAACCACGAACCTTTGTCTGTTTCAGAGGCCTTTTTCGCCTTTTCGAGTCGAATTTCTTCTCGACCAGGCTATCTTTCTCAGACTTTTGTCCAGTTTTACACCCAAACCGATTGCAGAGATCTTCACGTGCGATCGAAATCAGGAAATGTTTATGCGATTGAAATTGAAGAGCTACCGTTTATAAGATGTTTTGCCGCAAAAAGTATCTCTAATTCGTGTTGACAGGCAAAATAATTAGTGCAAAAAAACAAAAAAAAGAAAACTGGCCTCCGAAGGTCTACCGTATCCTTACTTTGGTTAAGGTGTTCCCAAATTTTATAACTGATGTAATACAGACATGGACAAATGAGAAAACAACATGACATTTACCGCTATATTTGACGGTTGTGACAAGGATTTCATCGAAAGGAGACAAACAGTGCACAACAAATCAATTACTCTACCTGTAAATCACAAGAATTAAAATTTTCACATCCACATCAATTACAAGAACAAAAAAAACTTCAGTTTTGTCACCCTTTCTTTCCATATTGCAAGAAACAAGAACAGTTTTTCCCGTTGTGATGGAGTAAAGCCAGTACTCGCCGCTGGTCGCTTCTCCCTCTTCGCTTCGTTGTATCTCCTCACATGTATCCGCTGGAAATTCCGGAATGGAACCAAGACGAACTGAGGTCGAAAAACATTTCCTTTAGAATGTAATTCTAATTCCATTTGCCCACTAAAAATAAAACTAAATCTATACATGTACTGGAGAGATGGCAAGTTTTGACGTCATGAACTTCATTACGGGTTTCCGTCTTATTACAGTGCGCAAGTGAAAGAAAAAAAAAATATTCATTTTTGTTTACTATGGTTCTCGATGGAAAAAGGCTTTCGGGTTAGAAATTGCCTTCTGACTTAAATGTGGGAATAACTTCAAAGTATAAATTTAGACCAATTTATGTCATTCACCTATGGTCTTACTTTTCTAGTAAGACTAGCCACTATTGTTCAGATGGGTTTCACTTCATTGATGAGGGTTTTCTATGGTTAAACTGACCTCTTTCCTTATTACTCTTAACATAATATCTCGCAGAATTTGGCACAAAGTTCTCTGGTCTGGCCTCCTTAGTCCGGTTATTTAGTTCACATAGTTCATTAGAAATGACGTAGTTGAAGCTGTGACATCGGAAATCATCGTTACACGCCTGATTACATTCAGCCGCAATCGATGATTTCATAGTTTTGAAGGTGTGTCTTCGAAGCATCATGCCCAAAATGGCATGCTCATCCTTTTTGCATTCTTGAGTAAAAATTTCATTAAAGTAGCACACTGCAATTACAATACAGAACCGCATCGTCGTTACCACTGGTTCGTCTCTCCTCTAAGAGAAATTTTGAAAAAAATAAATACTGTGATTAATTTGGGTTGAAGAAAGCGGTATAATTTCAGTAAGAAATTACGGTAATTTTTTGTCGAGTTTTGTTAATTATGCACCTGAGATTAACGAAAAAAAGACAGGACAGGAAATTATTCATGAAATTGCGATTTGAATGTATAGTTTAGTGCGTTGTACAACCAGCTAAGTGTATAATCTTACAAATTTATCTATTTATGCTTGTTTGCACATGTTTAAATATTCATCAAAATGGCCCTGAAAATATAAACATATGCTGAGAAAATTTAACGTTTATACAGAGAAAGAAATAACGAGGCTAATCATTCCACCAACTAAGATCGTCCATGTACTACCACCTATGAAAATATAGCATAACATGAGACCTTAAGTGTGATATCTGCACATTAAGTTTTCAAAATATTTGACCTGATCCTTACATTTCCTGTACATACATTTTTTCCTTTCTTACAGAGATGAGATCATCCTTCGGATAAAAGCTCAAGTTTATAACTTCGTTCAGGGAATCAATCTACTGGAACATACCTGTGTGTTTTATATTTATCAATTCGTTAATACCTTTGAGTAAATTACAATCCTAATTTCCTTTGTGTTATACAAACAGTGGTTTGAATTGTCAGACTTTATGTTTTACAGTTTTAAAGGTGTCAAGGATTTGAACATGCAGACAACGTTCAGCACAACAAATTAAGAGTATTTTGCAAGGAAGACGTGTTAATCAGCAGGTCCTAAACACATCGTTGAGGCAGAATTATTTAGACGATATAACTTCGTTCTCTGTCGATTAAAATGAGAATATAAAATTGTAAGGGCCTGTTCCCAATATTATTGATGTACAGAATCCCATTGACTTTGAAGGAAAAGCTACGGTATTCAGGTCAAGTCCAATGAACTTCAGTATCTTATAACACACAGTAGATTAGTCATTATCTAATAAGAGGCTTTCATAATGAAATTTACAATTGAGTACTGTTCACCCAAATAATCCTGCAAATTAATGACTTAGGAAATTAATGTTCGACTAGAACATGAACTGCATTTTCCTGAGATTTTGAGCAGTTTTTTAAATTTACTCCGTCCTGGAAAAATAGCAAATAAGTATATCTACAGAAAGCTCTTAGCTTTTGTAAATGAAACCCACTTTCAATGCCCGCATTTTCACGGTCTTTTTTTTGTAGTATATTCTCCTTTTTTGAAAACTTCCAATTAACGTGACGCCTTTAATCAGCGTTTCTCCTTTGCAACTCAGCCTCAAGTGCCGGCCCATTCCATCTAAAGCTACTGCAATTAATACAGACGAATGTTCAAAGGGCATTTTTCAAACGTTGAAGTTTGGTAAAGCAGCTGAACCTTTTTTTTTTGCAATCAATTGTCAGAAGAATAAAATTTCAATGTCTCTATATGAAATTGGCGATTTACTCCTGCCTAAAAATCGTGAAGGTTACAGTTTTCCCTGCCTTAATAAAGCCATCTTGAATGAAAAATTTATATCAAATCTTTCGCAGCAATTAACCTCCTAATCAGGGCGTGCGTAATTTCCCATGGAGGTGTCGGAGTAACCTTATGCCAAAAAATTGCTTAGGTAAATCGTGGCACATCATTTTCTGTCTGTAATGTCACAAATCCGTCCGGACGATGGAAGAAAATTAAAAGAGTTTGATTTAAATGGGAGGTTCGTCGAACTCGGCCCTCCTATAATTTACATAGAGTTTTCGTTTTCGTTCAACAAAATATGTCCGTAAAGCGGTTTTTTAGCTTTTGTTTTTAGGTTTTTGACCTAAAAATGAAATTAAATCTATGAAAAAGGAAAAAAAACATGTTTAAGACTCCTATTTGTAGCAGTCAAAAAAAAAACCACGAGTATGACTGAAAAAAACACCGAGTTTAAAGGTTTCTAATTAAGCTGCCTTTGACATTTTGAGTTTTCGAAATGATAACTTTGAATCAAGATAATTGGGTATTCTCGGATGCATTTGGCGAGTATTTTTTTTTGTTTATTTCAATTAGTAGACAGTGCAAGTGATTTGGAAGAACCTTTGCCACCAAAAACACAGGGTACCAATTCGTGCAATTATTTAGACGAAAGTTTCTTGTGATTTCATGTGAAACTCACCCCTTGAAAATCATCATTAGCCCTCAGCTTGGTAAAATGCTTCATCATGAAATACGCGAAAAAAATATGTATGGAGAACCATTACACATTGACCTGCTTCATCATCAGGATTACCGGAGAACTTTTACAAACAGCCACACTTAAGGGAATTGTCATTATTTATCATCTGTCGGTGGGAGGGGCGGGTGCAGGAGTGAAGGGCTTTGCTGGTGGAGGACTTTGCTGGAGTCACGATTACCTGAAACCCCTCCGTGCAGTTCTGTACATTTTTGTAATCCCCACCCTTCCGCTGTAATTGCCAGTTCACTGACATTCAATTCTCTATAGTCTTCTGCCGTCATTCTCTGTCGGGGAAGACCGATTCCCCTCTGTCCCCCACTGAGAAACCTTGTGATCTTCCAAAATTCTCTACCAACCAGGCTATAAATAATGACAAGTCCCTTCGTTCATGTTACTTCTTCTTCTTAATTTTTTAATTTTTGATTTATCATGATTATCATTATTATTTGTGACCAATCACAACACACTATCTGATATCACTAAAGTAAAATTCATATAAATCACAGTTAACATTGTTCAAAAGACGACTCAAGCAATTGATAATTTTCTGAACCAGCATCGATTTAGTCTGTGCTGCAGTAGCGGAGGGAACATGCGGGTGTGCCAGTTATGTAGTAAACATAGTAATCGCCGCAGTTTATCACGTTGACAGATCTTGACCAGTTGCAGCAGTTTGACCCCCAGTGGAAGCAAACTGTCCTGGTGACCTGACCATCAGCCACTGTGGGATGAGCACCATTTAGCCAACCGGATGCGTGAGTGTTACATCGCTGTTTTGGTGGACATGAAGTAGGCATTCTTGTACCTGCTGCTCCTTCAAAGCGATACCAACCATGAATACCTCTGTCACAAACCGTGTTTTGATTGCCATAGGTTATCTTTCTGTCTGACCCAGTCAGACTTTGATAGTTTTGACACTCTAAAATGGACAGAGTAGAAATGATTGACGTAGGTCCAAGAATCGAAACAAACCAAGTAAAACCCTTGGTATTTGATTTATATAGAATATATGACCTCTGCGCTACTTATTAGTGTAGTTAAGAGATTAAAATCTCCTAGTGTATTAATCTTTACATTTTTGACTCCAGGAAAAACGCGATAAAAACGCAGCCAATATCTAGCCATCATGACCAAACAAATGAAGTCAGTTACGAAATAGTTTTACGGCCGCATAATCACATCAAAGAGTCACAACATGAATTCAATTCAAGTAGTCATGGTTTTTCTTGTTTTGACTTTCCTCGTTTGTTGTTACAAGCATATTTAATTTCCTCTGGAGTTAAGGCGGAAGATCTTCAGCGCAAGCAACCGTCTCAAACATTCCGCGCAAAAAAATTAAAAAAAGTTTCGGCAGTGTTCGTTGTTTGATTACTTTTTGAGTCATCAGTTGTCCTCTCCCTATTGTTGCCTAGGATTTTACTGTTGATGGTTTTCACCGTCATCCAATTGAAAACTAAAAGCAAAACTACATACTAGACGCCCGACCCCAAGAGAGTGAGCTACTGTACATTATCAATAAACAAACAATCATAAATAAAACAATCTGCTAAAGTATCAGATCTGCAGGTTTTCCGCTGATGATTTATGACCTAAATTTTAAGAGCTCAGTATGGGGATGCCAAGTTGGTGCCCTTCCGTCGAACACCAAGGAGTTGCTGCCCTTGATAGTATAAAACACCCCAGTGAATGGTGCTTTTCGCGTGCGCTGATTGGCTGGTTCGGGAGTGATTTGCAAGTTCTTTTAAGTTAAATCTAATTTTCAACCAATATTCGTTATATTGTCTGACATTCAAACATTCTTCATTACCACTGTCGGTTAAAGTGGTGGATATTTACCTCGGCGCTTGACGGCTCGATAAATATCCACGACTACTCTCCTCCACTTAAGTGGATTATTGTTAATTATTTTGGATTTTCGATTTTCATAACGTCACGTGAAATCCAAAGATATGAAGCAACAAAAATCTTTGAGCGAAAAAATGAAGCAAAAAAAGTAAGTTGCTAGTTGCTTGATTACTATCTGAGTAATAAGTTTATTACCCCCCTGTTGCTTGTATCTATGTCAAGCCGGATGCCTGCGTGAAAGCATAGTTACAAAAGCAGCAACATTGGAAGACCCGACTCAACTTTGTACCTGACGGGAGAGGAATGCAAGATTTTCCATCCCCTATGTAGGGCTTGTTACATGAGCACTTGAACGATCCTACAGTGTTGGTACATGAAGCTGAACTGTGGCAATTGTGAACACCGCTGGCACATTCGTCAATATCTGTTGATATAGATTAGCGGGTTGATACAAATATCACATACAACGTAGGACAGGAATAATTAGTGCCGCGCTAGAAATGTTGCAGGCCACAAACATGAGTCGATTTTATGCTTTTTTTTTTTGGTATGGATGGTAGTCGGTTAAAATGGTAACGGTCATCAAACACACACATTTGCCTGCAAAAGTTGCATATTCATATGCTAGTTTGGTCTGAATGCTTTACAATTAATCACTTGCTAAAGTTCCTTGGTCGAGCCGTGATGATAGAAAGAATTTGGCCCTTGAAAGTCTGCCGAATCATAGAGTACACATAACTTTTTTTACTCAATAAATACAAATATGTGCAAATGGGAAATGATGAGGGTAAGGTCTACTACCATTTATGATGGTTGCTTTAAGGTTTTCATTGAAAGGCAACAAAAAGTGTATATTATTGTCATTAGCTTTATATCTAAATTACCAGAACTATAAATTTTTAAACAAATTTTTTCACATTCATATCAGCCGCAACAACAAGAACTTGAATATTTTTACCTTCTGGTTCCATATCGCAAGAAACCAGAGCAGTTTTTCCCGTTATAACGGAATAAATCCAGTACTCGCCACTTTTCGCTTTTCCATCTTCGCTGGCGTTTATCTCTTCACATGTTTCCGCTGGAAATTCAAGAATGGAACCAAGAGGAACTGAGGACAAGAAATATTTTCATCAAAGATAATTTCTAGCTGTACTTCCACCCTCTAACAACTTTCTTACTAGACGTTTAGGTGTGTAGATCGCTGAGTATTTTTACGAGTTGAGCCGTCAACTTGTCACATAAGGTTTCAAAACGATTAAAAGTTGAATTTCATTTTCGATTGCTGTTCTCAAATTGTACGAATTTGCTGCAAGTATGAAAGTGTACATTTATCAATGAAAAGTGATTCATAATTTATCGCCAGTAACAAAGCTTTGAATCTGCCAGGAGACAAGCTCTTAAAGACATGGATGTGCCCTTTGCATATGAAAATAATTTCCAAAAACTACATTTCATTTTCATCATCCGACTCGATCACAAAGCGACGACGCTTTGAATTAATCGCTGCCGGTACTTGAGGAGCTGAAGGCTCTTTACTAACAAACATGGAACAGTTGTTAAATACGGTACAAGAGAAGGCAAGTGTAGCCAACTTGTCAAACAGTTTTTTTTTACGGTGGGAAATAACCAATTGTCGATAATAACTGTACAATATCGCAGGATATTTGCACTCTATTCGCGCATTATTTGTTCCCTACTTTGTGCAGTTGGATAATAAATATCATTACTCCTCTCGATCAAAAAAAAAAAAAAGAGCTAGGGCCCAGAAATTTAAACTACGGATAACGCTATCCACTTTCTTTCATGGAAAATAATTTGCTTTCGAAAGTATAAATTTGGAGTAATATCATGTCTTTTGTCCATGGTGTCTCAAATTTAACCAACCAACCCCCATAGTAGTTTAGAAAGTTTAAATTTTACACTCATTGTTAAGTCCTTTTGGGCGATGAAACTCACCTCTTTTCTTATTACTCCTGACATAATATCTCTCCGAATTTGGTACAAAGTTCTCTGGTCTGGCCTCCTTAGTCCGGTTGTTTAGTTCACATAATTTCTCCGTAATTAAGTAATTGAAGCTGTGACATCGAAAATCATCGTTACACGCTCGATTACATTCGACTGCAATCGACGATTTCAACTTTTTGAAGGTGTGTCTTCGAAGCATCATACCAAAAATTGCATGCTCATCCTTTTTGCATTCTTGAGCGAAAAATTCATACGCGATACAAAGTGTCACTGAAATAAAGAATCGCATCGTCACAACCACCGGCTTGTCCTTTCCTGTAAGATAAATTACGATTAAAATTAAAGACCAAGATTATGCTATAATGCTAAGAATATAGGTATTCCTTGGATCTTGGCTAAAAACTGTTTGTGGAATGAGGGAAAAATCCACGAAACATCAAAACCGACAGACATAAGGATGGAAATGAACCTTGAGATTCAGCCTTGTTTAATTGAAAACCTGCCAAGTTTTATTTATGCTCCCCTAAGAAATGTGGGAAACTCGCAAATTCTTTAAAGTAGTCCTGATAAATGTATATTGGTGAGAGGATTCAACGCTTAAACAGAGGAAGAACAAATGCTATAGTTTATACTGTAGCGATCGAACCTTCAGCTGTTCTGTATATCAGATTAATTTTTCAAAATATCTGACCTGGTACTTTACATATCTTGTACGTACCTTGGTACCTATCCAAGGTAGATGATAACGCCTCTTGGAAACTGTTTAGGGGAATTTAGAATTTTTTTAGGGAATCAAGCTACCCGAAAGTAATTGTTTGTATTACATTTCACCAGTTTGCTATTACCTTGGAGTAGATTACAATTATAATCCCAGAGTCTTTGATGTTTAGAAACAAGTGGTTGAACAGGTGTCAAGGTTCTTTGAAGACAAACAGAGGCCGGTATTACCAAAAACAAGTATTTTAAGAGAAATTTTTTGTTCACCTGCAGATCCAAAACAGATCGATGACTTAGTCTTCTTTAGACAATTTCTCTTGGTTGTATGAGAAAAAAATCGTAAGGGCTGTTTCTCTGCATACTTGATGTACAGAATGCTGGTAAAATTTAAGGATAAATTTCAATTTTTTTATATCGCGCAGTAAATCAATAATTATGAGGAAAGTACTTAGTTCTAAGATGTTTGAGAAGAAAACAAGAAAGATGGTCCTAGGATTTTATGAAGATTTTTACATTCCTTATTTTTCGCAAGAAAAGGAATAGCACATAGGAGCATCGACGCAACACAGTAAATGCCTACGTCTTCATACTTGACTTGTTCTCTATTCTATCATTTTCTGCCCGTTTTAAATCTTTCTAAAACTCCTAATTAGCACAACTCCTTTAACAATGTTTCTCCTTTGCAAAACAGCAGAAAGTGCGCGCCTTTTTCTCTTCTCAATTGATAAAGACGCAAATCAATGGGAAGTTTTGAAACACTGGGATCAGGCATAGCAGCTAAATGTTTTAGCTTTCCCAGATACTTGTGATTATTTATCAGAAAGATAAGTCTTGTAATGTCTCGGTGTTAAACTCTAAGCTCCCATTTCCTTCATGTATTTCCACAGTTTTCATGGCTTTAATGAGCTTATCTCGAATCAAAAATTTATGTCAAACCGTCCGCAGCAAACCGATCTCTCTTTTTTTTTAATTAGACTTTTAATTAACAGATCGCACTAGCAATTTTCCAAGAAAGTAGTGTAAGTAATATTATGAACTCCCCTGAAACGATGGAGGAAAATGAAAATAATTTGATTTACGTAAGGAGTTCTTTTAATTTATCACAGAATGCCATTCGAACCACATTCAATACAATGTTTACAAAGCGCTTTTTTTTCGTTTTGCTTTTATGGAGAGAGATACGCACGTATTTTTCCAATGACTAAATCCCAGAGTCAATCATAAAAATTTTTGATATTGGGCGACGAAAATTGCAATGAGCCAAATGTTATTATCCTGCCAAATCGTCCCATGTTTGACCATTTCCCGGACTTCTCTCTAGCTTTTTTTTTTCTCTAATTGAAAGTGAAATTTCGGAACAAGCGAACTAGCAAATAGCAACAGAATATAAAATACGTTATAATGTTGTGAACAGAGGCGGAAATCCTCAAAGAGAAAACGAAATGGACAGTCTGAGTTTTGAAGATTTTGACGCCCAGTTAGATAGCAAGTTTACACACGGAAATAGAAATGATGATCTCGTTTGAACCAAGCTATGAAATAATTTGAATACCACGTACTACAATGAACTAGAATTATCAAAATGAGTTGAACAATTTACAACTTGACTAAAAATTAGGCTTAAACACACTACCAAATATCTAATTTAGTGATATTCTTAGACCTTTTTATTATTATTGCTTTATTGAGTGAAATATCAATAATATAGTTATAATATCTACGAAAGTCACTTTTTAAGTCCTTATGATTATAATGCTCGCAAACGAGTTCTGGAAACTCCAATAAATGGACTATTTAGATTATCGATAAACTACAAAACCTCTTATAAGCGATGTCTTACCCTGTGTATTTTTTTTACTACTCCATATCTTATAGCTGACTTGCATGACCAAACTTTTCTCTAAGTTATTTAATAAATCTGTACTCATAACAAACGCCCTAACATAACGAAAATAGACGTCACTTTACCACGTATTAGATTGCTGTAAGGACAACGAGTTATGAAAATTCTAGATGAGCTACCTAGATAACTTGATAAACTTCCAAAACACTGATTAGTGGCGTTTAACAAAATATTCTACCTATTTGTCCCTTTTGAATCCTTTTTTCTTTCAACAAGAGAAAGTGTTGGGAAAAAAAAGGTACGAAACGACTGGTAACCTTATTACCTTTTTTACCAAAAACTGATATTGTTATACAACTGGAATTTTTTTTTCAACAGCAGGCGCTATCATTGGTTACTTTGGGGTCACATGACATCCAATAATAAAAATGTTGCCTATGTAAAGTTTCTGATCTGAGTGAACAACATTACAAAATCTTTGACATCAGAAGGTAATAATGGAATGTTTCCCGCTCGTGTTTATTGACAACCACCTTTAGAGGTGAACACGGCTCGACTGAGGACAACGTTAAACCGGCAAGACATTTCCTACGCACTTTAAAGGAGGTTATCAAAATGTTCGATTTCTTTCTACACCGCCTCCTCTAATTTCTTTATTATGCTATACAACAAAATACTAGACGACTGTGCCTACTGTGAAGCGTACCTTTTGTTTTACTCGCGACCAGTTCTAAAGAGTTTACTATTAAAAAAAACTTTCTATAATAGGATAGTTAATAGATTGAACTCATTACACTCCTTTAAACTATGAATTTTATAATTTATGAGGTGGGTCACGTGCTCAAGCCTGAATTAAATTATTAACTTTATAATGGTTTTTGACCACATTCTTACAAGCAAACTTTAAAAGAGTTTTATCAAATGTCAGGATTTTTAAGCTAAAGCGTGTTGAATATTATGATCCTAGACGGTGACATTATTAATATCTAGCCTGGGGAAGAGCATTCTTATCTTCTCATGTTGAAAAAGGAACAAGGGATTTGAATATATATAAAACTTCTGCAATTACCAATAAAACGGCTTTTTCCTGTTAATGGGAAAATCTGCTTTTGAAAAATAACTGTACTACTCAAGAAATGTTTTGGAATCAGCCCTAAAGTTCTATAATTTGCACAAGGCCATTATCATTCGAGTTCCCACCAGTCAAACCGGAACAATCTTGGCCATTATAGTACGAGCCTCCTCAGCCTCCGGCTTGTTTTTCACGGTTACCACTACCTCCCCCAGAGTACCCACCACCTCCACCTGATGCACCATTATCCTCTGATCCACCTCCCCCACCGCCAAACCCACCAACTGTTCCTGGTGCAGGGCCCTCGTTATTACCGCTATTCATACCTCCGGCTCGACCACCGATCCAGGCTTGAGAACTAGATCCACCTCTTTCCCCATGGGAGGAGCTTAGTCGGGTACAACCTTGACCAAACCAACCCGCTCCCCCTCCTCCAGTGCCAGCATTGTCTTCCACGGACACTCCTAGTTGAGCTGCTATTTTGTTAGTGCTTTGTCCGCCTTTAACCTCCACTGAATCTCCTCCCCTTTGTCCCACCACAATATTTAACACTGTTCCATTCCTATTGCACCTGACAGAAAAAGCTGACAGTTAGCTTGTATGCCAGGTACAATACGTGTTACCGTATACCCCTTCTGTTTAACTGCTTTACTCTACCTTCGCTTATCATGTCACAATGAGCCAACACAGGAGTGTGAGGTTTGATGAAATTCAGCCAGTATATTCCGCTGACCGCTTGTCCACCTTCGCTCGCCTTGATTTTCCTTGCACGAGTCTGCAGAAAGCTCTGGAATGGCTCCTAGGATAGTTAGAAAATAAGAAAACGAGAAAGTGAAGAAAAACTGCGAAATCCTCCCCTCCAAGACAATTAGCCAAATCATTTTACCTTAACGCTCACCTCTCTTCATATCTCGTCTGAAGTAATATCTATCAGAGTTGGGTATAAAATCTTCAGGCCTGGCTTCCTTTGTACGGTTACTCAGCTCACACTTGTCTTGGGTGAACACATAGTTAAAGCTTTGGCATCTGACGTCACGATAACACTCCCGCAAACACACATCACCGAATGCTGCTCCAGTGATTGTTTTAAAAATGTGTTTTTGAAGCATCCTACCAAAGATGGAGACTTCACGTGTATCACGGTGGTACTGAGTAACAGCTGAGTGAAGTAATACCAACGTGAAGAGGAGAACTGGTAAATAAAAGAACTCTTGGACTCCCATTTTTGTTATAAAATCTCACCTGAAATGAAATCATTAAGTTTGAGAGCACAGTGATACAAATATGTAGGCTCCACTGAAAAACAGGGATAACTGAGAAGCCACTTATTGTTTGGCTGTTTTTCAAGCAGTATGACATATCGCACACACGCATGACGAGCGATACGTCATGCATACTACAAATTTAAAGCTTGTTGTGAAAAAGCAAGCGTGAGATATGGCACGAGTCGATAAGAAACGGAAGCTAAAATAGTCCCATTGAGCGTTCGTCTACGGCTTAATGAAAAGTTTTACTCATTTTTTTACAATAAGAAGTTGTCAAAGCTCAATGGCAGAAACAGTTTTTACTAAGTACAGCGAACGGTCGTCGCCTCATTGCATGCAAAAAAAGACATCTAAATATAAAGTAACAGACTCCTTTACGACCCATTCCCGAATGTAGTAGCAGCTTTTTTCTGATTCAAACATTCACGCTATACTATTAAAATAGCACACAGTTCGCTGCCCCTAAAAACACTTAATAAAAACTTCCCAAAATGATATATTTGGTTTAGCTCTATCCTATCATGATGATAACAGAACCATAAGGTACTTCTCCTATGCTGTTAACTTGCCTGAGTGAGCATCGCAGTCTTTCTTCACTTTTCAAGATCGATAGAGAGATCTTTAAAAACAAATTGACTTTAAATAAAACTTGACTAGTATTGAAAGAGGAACTTTACAGAGTTCAACATGCTTAAGTGATAAAACTATGAAACATGATGCTCTGTTTTCTTTTAAAACTTCTTTGAATGCCACCTGCAGACTTCCTTTGAAAAAATGTCTGCTGAGATTCATACAGAATTTCCGTTTTCTTCGAAATTCAAAATACGAAGTCGTTGTTATAATGCAAGTAAATGGCAACGAAACTCTTCGAAATGCTTCAATTTGTTACTTTATTTTTTAATTTCAGTTTTGGTAAAAATATCTTTTAATATCTTACCTGACTTCTCTGCAAACATTTGTTTCACCTTATCACCTTTGTAAACAATTAATTTTGTCTTTTCAGACCCTGCAAACAATTTTTTTCAATATTTCTCATACCCCTCCTCTAGAAAAATAATAGTCCGTCCCTTACATAGCCTTATCTTAATACAAAGATGGCTAACAAACCCGTGACGCAATTTACATGAATTTTGACGAGTTTCCCACCCCTCCCCCCCGATCAAATTATACCTAAAAAGTCCAGGAAACAAAATGTTCCAACATTGTTTACATACTCCCACCTAAACAAACAAATCAACCTGATTAATGGAAAAAAATTGATAAAAAAATGTTTCCAACGAGCGATAATGGCCAAGCTGAGTCAGTGGTTCGTTATGTCTTCTGGCCGTAATCCAGTATCACCTGAATATACTTAAATTTTATTCTCTCTATACCCTTTAGGGGCTAGTCGTCGGAGGGGTAGGGATGCTGTTGGATTTTTTTTTGGGGGGGGGGGAGTTTCATGGATTTAGTTGGGAACAGAGGGGTCAGTCGTCTCCAACAAAGTGTAGAGAGGACTATAGAAAATTTAAGGCCAATGAAGGGCGGGGCCGCGGGGGGGGTCTTAAAAATATCACAGAGCCTTAGTGGGGAGAGCAGTTAATCGTAACACAACCAAAATAATCAAAATGAGAGAGAGAAATTAACCATTAGCCGTAAAATGATAACATTTTTAACCGTTAATTGCCCGTAAAAGCGATCACCCCATTGAGACTAGGTGTGACGCTTACGACGAAAGACGAAACTTCGAGGGGTGTCGCTAGGCGTGTTTTCTAAGTGTCGCCGATGTGGGGACTATTTTACCGGTCGTAGTGAAACCACGAAAACCAAGATGACGATTAACGGTGTTTATTTAGATCACGATCACGATCGTAAACTGAAATTACAATAATAATAAAGAATGCATGAATCTACTTGAATTGGTGCGAAAGGCATGAAAGAAACGCTTTACGTGCCTATGTCGATAACGCGATTAAAATAACGACAATTAACGTGAATTAACATAAACAAATCATAAAAGGCTAAATTAAAACTACTCGAGATTCAAAGATCGGCTACGCGATGACCATTTGCGGCTGATTAACATCCCAAAGACTAAAATGTGGGCGCTGCTGTGTGAGTTTCAAGATAATTAGTTGTACTATTGTATAACACAGTACATATGTGCGCTATCGCCCAAGGTGAAAAACTAAACTTAAACATATTGAAATAAAACTAACAAAATCACTTACATATCGGTCCCGCTTGTGCCAAAAGTTTGGAACGAAAGAACGAAGATACTGCTGTTCAAGGCGAAATCTTGCGAAACTCTGGCTTAAAGGGACGCTAACTTAGCTTTTATATGCGTGTGGTGACGCTAAAACTTCCGATTACAAACCAATAGGGAAAAGATAAACATTGTAACTGCGATCGTAACCAGGCACACAAAGTAATTGATAATTGATCGAATCAAAAAAAAAACTGTTCTTTTGTTCGATATCCTTAACACTAGGCCTGTCCCGATTGGGATCCTAAACTGCTGGAAAGTTGCTAATTTGAATAGCTTCTAGAAATTGCAAAAAAATACAAAAAGTTGACACCTAAATTTCTTGATATTGTTATAGAAACATTAATTTGAATTTAAAAAGCTTTATTTTTGGTTCTTTACAAGAATTGCCAACATCAGTCACAAAAAATAACTTGGCTTTAGAGAGTTGCTAAAAAATATGGGCGAAATTTAAGGATACTCTTATGTCTAACGAACAAAACACGTGGTTTATTAGACATCATTTTAGCCAATTGTCAAATGTAGTATTAAATAAGAGTGGAAATAGGCCAACGAAACGTTGTCAAGTGACACGTCATGTCTTCAAAAGCCTTTTGATAAACATTCAAGAATTTGCATGAATTGAAGTTTTCTATGAAATCGTTGACTTTTTCGTACTTAACGTGTGATTTAACTGATTCTCTCTTCATGCGCTATCTCAGAAAGAAGAAACTCATTCAGAACCTGCTGTCCACAAAACTAATTATACGTTTGATTTCCAATATCACTCTGTCAGTCTCGACGTACAAGTACAAGTTAAAGTACCTTCACAAGTATCAGTTAACCTTTCACTGAAAGGAATGGAGATCAATCATTGTTCTTTGAAAGTACTAGTTCTCCTGCTGGTTTGTAAATTGCTAGAGTTGTAAGATGTTCGAAACAATATAGAGTTAGGAATAGCGCACAATCTTTCATATGTAACAAATAGAAAAGCCTTGACTGTGCTTTATTCCGTTGTAAAGCACACAGGAAGCAGCTAGAACAAGAATGAATTGTAGGAAGAAACACGAGAAGTAGTCTCGTGTTTGTCCCCACTTCTAGATTTTTATGTGTGTTTTTTTATGCACAGTACAGGATGCGAAGAGCAATACTCAGGAATAACAATTAAAGTGATTTCAGCGGGCCCCCGTAAAAGAAAATAAATATCACGAAAAAACGGCCCAATCGTTTGGGTTCATTGTTAGCGGTGCGATGCATGGGTCACTCCCTTATACTTCACACTCGCACTGTTATACTCCACTGATGTTTTTTGATGATCAGGACTTAATAACTAAATAGAGGTTAATCTTCCTTGTTTCCAAAAAGAAAAGAAGGATAAAGCGATTACAAAAACATCTGCTGCAAAGGAGATGGAAAATTGTTAGTCTGAAATCTTTTTATGTTAAAAGCGTTCTAAAAGAGCTAACAAAGAGTTAACTCTCCTGGCTAACCCAGTCTTGAACGAGAGTATGTTAGCACGTTTTTTTTCTCATTGAATTCCGGATGATAAAGAGAAAAAAAAAACAAAGAAGCGCCCGCCTGAAACATCCTTACGGCTCTGCGAACAATCAGATAAATATTCCTACTTGCATCCGTTTTGATCGATCAAAACATTCAAAAAGGTTCGGTGTTATTCAAACCATTCAGTTGTTAGTAACTACCTGCGAATTAACATGCTAGGCATGAGTCAGACTTTTACGTAACATTAATTTATTGAATAAAGTTTGTAATCGTGCCTGTAATTCAAAATACCGTCCGAAGGTAAAGCCAACTGTAATAGGCTTCACTAAGTCGAGCAAAACGAGTTAAAGGAGGAAACACGGGACTATTCAACCTGAAGATCAGCTTCCTTACTGGAGAAATCTAGGATATGAATTTTTCAAAGCATATTCGATAATCATGTTCTTATTATATATTTGGTAATTAATGATTAGAAAATCCACATGCTGGTAAATGGCTACTGCATGAAACTGGTTTGTGTTGTGCATATCTCCACTGGAGCATTTATAAAGATCATGATATCGAGATTACAGACAAATGGTACCAACTTGAGCCAGGGACTGTCATGCACAATCGGAAGACAACAACATCACCATCATATGGGACATGCCAGTACTGACTGAACTATCACAGCGAACATACCAGACATCGTACTTAAGAGAGGTTGTCAGTAATTTTCGAGAATTCGGCGAATTCGGCGACAGAAGCAAAAATTCAACGTTTTTTTAATTTGCTCAAAAAGACCCTTTTGGTGAATCGCTTTCAAAAATAATATTCAAAAGTTCCAGCGAGTTTTTATTTTGGAAAAAAATACGAAAGTTCGAAATCGGACAAAACGTACCTAGTTTGCATAATTTCTATTGGGCTTTCAGCGCATTTTCACAACGCTCGCACAAGACAACGAAAAATTATCTTGGATTCATTTTTTCATAAGTTGTTTTTCATCCCTTGGAGTAGCTTTCCAACCATATTTCATCTCCAACTGAACTCTCTTTCGTTTGTAACCACCGCGTAAAGTACACTATATTTTCTATTCCGTTTGTACGCTAAATTTTGCTATATTTCAGACGACCATAACATA